TAAGAGCGATGGCCTCCAACCTAAGAGCGATGGCCTCCAACCTAAGAGCGATGGCCTCCAACCTAATAGCAATAGCCTCCAACACAATAGCGATGGCCCCCAACCTAAGAACGATGGCCTCCAATTCTGATGGCGATGGCCTCCAACCTAAAAGCGATGGCCTCCAACCTAATAGTGATGGCCTCCAACCTGAGAGCAATGGCCTCCAACCCTCATAGCGATGGCCTCCAACCTAAGAGCGGTGGCCACCAACCTGATAGCAATGGCCTCCAACCCAATATGGCCTCCAACACAATAGCAATGGGCGATGCCCTCAAACCTGAGAGCGATGGCCTCCAACCTATAGATAGGAATGGCTCCAACCCCAGAGCGATGGCCTCCAACCTAGGAGCGATGATCTCCATCCTACTAGCGATTTCCTCCAACCTGATAGTGATGGCCTCCATCCTACCAGCTACCGTCCTGGTCTGGAATCCAGGTGGACTCTCACGCTGTAAGCTGGATGACTTCTTGCTTTGGGCGGAGTGTCAAACAGCGGGAATCTACATCCTCCCGCAGACACGATGGTCCTTCGAATCTTTCTGGGAAAGTGGCAAATGGCTCTTCCTTCACAGTGGACCAGGCCATGGGAAAGGAGCTGGCATCCTGATCATTGTGTCCAAGCAACTATGTGACAGCAGTCAGCTCAGTCACCGCACCATAATTCCTGGGAGACTGGTCCATCTTAGACTCCACCTGGCCCCTAGGTATCTGGACATCTTGGCCTGCTATCAACGCGTGGGCCACGGCAGATATGAACGACAGGATGACTCTTCGGAGTCAGCTACATACAGCTTCGAATTCTCTCGCCCAGCGGCGTGGGTTGATTCTGGCTGGCGATTTCAACTGCTGTTTGACTGCGGGCTATCCAACCACTGGTACCAATGTGTTTACCCATGGTGGCGGTCACACCCTTGGCACTCAGCATAAGTTGGTGATGCAACATGGGCTGGTAGCTTTGAACTGCTGGGATGATAGACTTGGTTGGCCCTACCTCCTACAACCCACTGGGAGCGGTGTCACACATTGACTTCATTTTTCTGCGCCAGATATTTGTTGATGCTCGGGCACGAACAGCGACTCTCTTGACTGAGGTGCCTTTTGCTAGTACCTCATCATCCTCCACTGCTGCGCAACTTTGCTCTACCTTGGGCCCCTAAAGCTCGAACGAATGACCGTCAGCTCAAGCTTCAGCATCGACAGCATGGCAGAGAAGCCAGACTAGCAGGCACGCTTCAATGGGAGCATTTTGAGCGTGATGTCCAGAACATCTTTGCCCTGACCATTGATGCGCTCGACTGGCAGGCGGGCTCTGAGCCTCTGGATCAGGTTTCAGAAAATTCAGTTTCCAACTGAGGACATCAAAGCAAGTGCTTTTGTTTCCCAACCAGCTAGTTGTCATTCTCGGTCGCTACATTGTTTTTGCTCGTCGACACAACAATACTGAATCTTTTTTGATAGCCAACAACCACATATTAGGTCGCTTTCCAAACATGCGGTTTATACCAAATGGCAACACTTTCATGGTCTTCGTAAACCTGCTTCAATTTCGCTTCGATCTCTTTTTGACAAATGTGGCATTGGACACAGTTTTGCGCTCGGCAGAGGCAACATGCCTCCTATGTCAGAATGACAAAGACGGCCAGGTTTGAGCACGTCATCCAGACTGCAGGCCAGGCGGCTGCCAAACATGACTCCTATTTTTTGTTTTCCTGTATTCGTTCTCTCCTCCACGCCCGGACAGGAAGCTCAAACTTAGGAACGGTTAGGGACAATTGATGAGCACGGTAGAGGAGGTTGCCTGTTTCAGAAAGTACATTCGCACCACCTGGCAGGGACCTGACCGATGTTCAGCTGTTGGCAGGCTGGTTACCATGCCATTCACATGTTCCGAATTGATTCGCGCGCAGATGAAGTGCACCACTGGCTCACTGACAGACAATTCAACAAGCTCTGGCAGTGCACTGAACTGCTTCAGATTTTGAGTTCTCGTTGCTACAATGGTGTTTGTCCATCAGATGATTAGACTCCTGCCTGGCTCATTGACTCAGTCAATGAATGGCTCGCGCAGACATCAAGGCACACCTCATTGCCTGCCCCACGCTGATTCAGCTTGCCGATCCATGAACGATTTTGGCGGCTTGGTGTCAATGGAGGACGCTTTCATGGAGCAATCATTGGTGGCGCTTCAAGGCTGGGGCCAGCGAGCAGGACCCGTCGAACCGGCCCAAGCAAGTGAGACCGTCACCAGGGAACCCCCTCTACGAGATCTCATTCGAATCATGGGACATTTGATGCTTCGTCACGACCAAGACACGCAGGCGACGGCTCAACAGGTTACATTCATACTCTGCTTGGTTCTCAGCCAAGAAGGCACGATTTGAAGGAGAAGAACACCAACCTTCGCTCACACTCGGTGTTGGCCCTCCTACGCGAGTTGCACCGTCGGCTCCTGAAGCTGATGAGTTGCGGGGAACAGGACCCACTCCGGGTCACCTTGGTGAAGAACGGGATTTTGTTGGAGGTACAGGCAGTGGGACTTGAAGGAGAAGAAGCTCCTCCTGCGGACGCCAATGACTGCGGCGCAGGAACTGCTCGAAGAGCTCTTGACTTTGGTGAAAGAAGATGGAACCATTCAGAAGTTCCATTCGCTGAGCAAGCCGGAGCCCTCAAAGAGCCAACCCTGGAGGCTACAGTTGGGGATGAGAAACGACCGTCTTCACAAGTTGCTGACCACAAGCTGCCACTTGAGCCTGTGGCAAATAGCGGGGGTTCAACTGAAGGCCCACTCGTTGAAGGCATCTCCATTGGCGCTGAAGATCAAGGACATGGTCCAAAGGCTGTGATTGAGGAACATGGCCACCTGGCCCAGATTGTTGCCAAATGGGAGATGTTGAATCCGGCCAACCACTGCTTTGCGAATGCATACATCGCTTTCATTTCTCCTTTACATGATTGGGGAGTCCTTCAAGCCGGCTTGAAGGCTATGGTGCAAAGTGGCTCTATATTGAGCAGTTCGGGGATCACCTTGCCCAATGGGACGGGGCTCGACAGTGTGATGCTGTTGAATTTACAGCCTTCCTTTTCTCCAAGATGGACTCGGCAGTGGTTCGATTGCGCCCAATGACAAGTACCACTCATGGTTAGAAGCTTATGTCAAGGGTGGCCATTGATGAAGTGATCCGGATTCCAAAGTTCACAGGTGCAGGCATCCAGCTGGAGTTCCACGAGTTTGCGACGTTTGCACATCTTGGCCGTCCAGGGGCTGGCCACTGCAGAGCGGCGTTGAAGCATCTCGGAACCTTGAGCCCTTCTGAATGAGTGATGGTTTGGGCCATTAAGGTGACAGATTTGATATTTTGAGTGCGAGTCAACTCTCCCTGACACGGATCGTATGTTAGCTCTTTTCGCGGATTGATTTGCACTGGTCTCAAGAGGATCATAACGTCTTCAGATTGAAGCCGTGACCACTGGTCACGCTAAGGAATGCGCAAAGACGCCAGAGAGCTCTTCACGTCTGAAAGGCCGAAAAAGGACAGTGCGGGCAACCCGGCCTGCTATTTCGCCGGCAGCCGGCCAGCCGGCTGGCCAAATAGCGGCGGGCCGGCCGGCCGGCCGGCCATGTAGTAGTAGTAGTAGTAGTAGTAGTAGTAGTAGTAGTAGTAGTAGGAGTAGGAGTAGGAGTAGGAGTAGGAGTAGTAGTAGTGGTAGTGGTAGTGGTAGTGGTAGTAGGTACTACTACTACTACTACTACTACTACTACTACCACTACCACTACCACTACCACTACCACTACTATTACTACTACTACTACTACTACTCCTACTACGGCTACGACGACGACTACTACTGGCCCCCAAACACAATAGCAGTGGCCTCCAACCTAAGAGCGATGGCCTCCAACCTAAAAGCAATGGCGTCCAACCTAATAGTCGTCTAAGAACGATGGCCTCCAACCTACCAGCGATGGCCTCCAACACAATAGCGATGGCCTGTAATCTAAGAGCGATGGCCTCCAATCTGATAGCGGTAACCTCCAACCTCATTGCGATGACCTCCAACCTGATAGCTATGGGATCCAACCTAACCTAGTTGCGATGGCCTCCAACCTGATAGTGATGGCCTCCAAATTATGAGCGATGGCCTCCAACCTGACAGCGATGGCCTCCAACCTAACATTGTATTTTACCTAAACCGCAAACTCATTGCATCTCCACTGTCCAGCATGTCCTGTACCTAGCCCTGAACCCCGCCACGTCTCGCGCGCGCGCCTCCTTCTAAGATCTTCTGTTCTCCGTTGTCCTGTGTCACAGCAGCGTAGCCCTGCCGAGCGTTCTCTGAAGTTCGTTCGGGCTGCCCGCGCTACTACCAGGGCCGTCTTAGCCCGCAGGTTTTACAGTTTTTGGAAAACATGACCTTTCTTTGTTTGTTTTTCTTCGTCTCTTTTGACTAAACAAGACAAGAAATCATTCACCGGAATCTGTAAGTTGAAGTCTGTTCACCTCATCAACAGTGATGAGCGTGTATGGCCTGAGCTGCGAGTGCAAGATCTATGGCGGTTCTCCGAACAAAGAAATCACTTGCTGCAACAATCTTGCAATCTTGCACTCACAAGGGGCGCGCCCAAGGCGGATAATGCTCGATGCAAGGTCGATGAGCTGCTGAAACCTTTGCAAGTGTTTGAGGCCCCAAAGCCCTGAATTTGAGGTTACAACAGTTTTGTGAAACAGTCACACACTTATAGGAAATACGTACTGAATTGAAAGCCACTCGCCACTCGCCACACGGCAACCAAAGTATCCATATTCCTGATAAGGCATGTAAGGGGGTCTGATCACCTCTGGCTGTTAGAAGGCCACAGGTCCAATCCACGAGGTAACGAAGCGACGACTGGGCGAAATGACGGCGACTGCTCACATCTGCAGAACGCATTGCCCCTTTAATGGAAATTGGAGCGACAGCTTGAGAACACCACAAATTAACATCGCAGGTACGTCGGAGTGATCAGCTCCGATATCCTCCCAACTCATGAGCAGCTTTGTTGGCAGTAGACTCATGAGCGGGCTACTGGCTGCTAACAAATCAACTGGTTACCTGTGATTCCACGGGTTTCACGCACATGCCCCCCACGTGGAGGGCCCAAAAAATTAAGGAGCGAGCAATTGCGCATGCGCGCGCGCAAAGAAAACAAAAAGATGAAGACATGAGAAGGAGACAAGACAAGACCAGTGTCTGTATGTGGTTGCGATGAAGGGGAAACCAAGTGCACAGGGACAACCAAAGAACCAGACCTCATTGTCAAGACCTGGGCAACCTGAAACCTGGGTTGAAGGTAAGTGCGCGCGTACACGCTAGGGCCGGACCGTTGCGCGCGCATGTACTCCCCCCTGCGAATATGCACAAGATAAGGTGAATTAACAATATTCCTAGAGACCTACTTAGCATTGTGGTCATTCTCCTTGGGTACAGGAGGTGACACACACACACACTCACACTCAGCCGAATCGGCTCTTCGCGAGGAGCGTGCCCCTTTTGGGCATATATAGTGAGCCAAGTGCACAAGCGCCTGTGCAGCGGCTGTTGGTGGGTAGGCGTACTTCTTGATCAGGCGCGCGCGTCAAACGGAAAGACGTAGCCGCTGGCTGCCGCCCGACCCATGGTCGCGGATCTTCCACGATTCCACGGGTGGAATGTAGGTGATTGCGCGTTGGTGTAGATTGACGTCGAAGCCCAGCAGGTGCATATATCCTCGAGTCAATGGGATTTCCGAAGAAATCAGGATGGATAAGTGTTTGAATGGCAGTGTGGCGAAAGAAAGTTTCATTGAAAGTGACGAACCGATTGTCCACATACCTGTAGTAGGTAAATACGTGGATTTGGCTGTGATCGGTAGGGCTGCGGTGTATCTGGGCCCATGAATAGCGACATTGCACAGAGGCCAACCAAAAGTAGGGCGAAGGCCAACGCACTTAGGTTGGAGGCCATCAAGCCACGGTGAGAGGCCCTCACAAAGGGTTGGAGGCCGTCGCTAGTAAGTAGGTAAGTAGCAAGTAGACAAGACAGCGGTTCAGCGTAGGTGTGACTCCAACGGTTTCACACACTGGAGGTCGTCCCAGCCGTCACAAATGTAGGAGGCCATCGCAAGTAGACAAGTCAACAGCGTATGACACAAGTGCGGTTTGCCACATACATTACCTAGGTTCGTACAGAGGTAGGTTCCATAAGGGACCGAGACAAGTGATTCGCTCTAAGTGTGTAAAAAAAAAGAGCCTCCTGCTTTTTAGCTAGGGTAGACTACAAGGAAAGAGAAGCCTCCTGTTTAGCTAGGGAGCGAGACTGACGAATCGCTCCACTGGAGTAGAAAAAGGAAAGGGAACCGACAGACAAGTCTGCCGACGAACCCTGCCTCCTGTTTTCGGGCGAGACATAAGAATCACCTACTAGACTAGAGCAGGTACATGGGACTGGCCAAGTCCCATATCCCGCGATATCGCTTCGTTGGTCAAGGTTGGTGATATCGCGCCTTGACCCCCTGCTCAAAAACCAAAACTTCAACGGAAGCTCTCTGACTCCAAGGGTTTCACACACACTTGAGAAGGTTGCTCCGTAGAGCGCGATTTCAGGCTGCTTCGCGGAGTGCATTAGCCCTTTAGAGTTACTGCAGATTAGACCTTGACTAAAAAGAAGTGCTGAGTCAGTCGACCAGAATGTTGGAACAAGTCGTGGAAAGTGAAGTGATTCAAACAATTGGAAAATTGCAGGTACGTCGATTTGGCGTCCCAAATCGATTTCACAGACCAATGCAAGCGTCTTTGTTATTGCCAGACTTGCATGGTCCCTGGCACCCCCTGCTCATGGTCTGTACAAAGATGCTTAGCTGAAGTAGTAGGAATAGCTAGAGTAGTGCCCTTGGAAACAGGGGTGGACACACACAGAAAGCGAATCCAGCGCAGCTAGAAACCGTCTTGGAAGTCAATCAGTCAGCTGAAGCTTGGTTTTCCTTTTTCTTTTTCGCTCTCCTTTTTGTCTCTCGCCTTTTTCCGCCAGGGGGTGAAGGGGTGTTCGGGCGTGCATTGACTAAACGAGCCTGGATGCCACCTAACCAGCCTGAAGAAAAGAACAAGACAAACGAAAAAGGCAAGGAAAGAAGAGAAAGGTGCACGGGGTGCGGGGGCCGGGCAGGGCGTGCGTTGACTAAAGGAGCCTTGATCATACCTAAAAAGCCTGAGGGAAGGAACAAGACAAACGAAAAGGCAAGAAAAACAAATAAAGGTGCGCGGGGTGCGGGGTCGGGATGGCTCTTACGAGCGAACGGTACGGGCCCATGGGCACTGTCCGAGAAGCCGAATCGGCGCTTTGTTAAAAATGATAAAAATTATTAAAATTAGAACAAGGAAACATCTCCGGGGTGAGACATGTTTCAGTGAAACTCTGCAGTATATTTCAGTGGAAGTTTCAGTGAACTCTGCAGTAACACTTCACGTGTGCAAGGTGAGACAGTCCAATCAAGCTGATTTCAAGCAAGAAAATCCAGTCGTGTGAGCTTCAGAAAAACTTCAGGAAACTTACTCCTGCGGTGAGGAGTGAGAAGGTTCTTGCAGTAACGGCGCCCCATAGGGATCACACAGCTTACCACAGTGGGAAGAAGCTGCGAAGACACACTTGAGAAGGTTGCTCCGTAGAGCGCGATATCAGGCTGCTTCGCGGAGTGCATTAGCCCTTTAGAGTTACTGCAGATTAGACCTTGACTAAAAAGAAGTGCTGAGTCAGTCGACCAGAATGTTGGAACAAGTCGTGGAAAGTGAAGTGATTCAAACAATTGGAAAATTGCAGGTACGTCGATTTGGCGTCCCAAATCGATTTCACAGACCAATGCAAGCGTCTTTGTTAGTGCCAGACTTGCATGGTCCCTGGCACCCCCTGCTCATGGTCTGTACAAAGATGCTTAGCTGAAGTAGTAGGAATAGCTAGAGTAGTGCCCTTGGAAACAGGGGTGGACACACACACACACACATCTTTCTGTGTCAGTGACATGCTTCATTTCTAACTTTTCACAGCATAAAAAGAAGCTTTGGGCATCTTTGGCCAACACTCAATGGTGGGACTATCCCATTGGTGGAGACCTGGAGGAAGAAGCACTGGCTGGCCACGGTCCATAGCCTCGACAGGGACAGAATCGGACAACGTGAAAAGCGTTGAGCCTGGGCAGCTTCTGTTCTACCAGCTGCTACTCTGTTGAGTAATTGCGAGAAAGCGCAGTGACTGTGCAGTGACTGTGTCCCCAGCAAGGCCCACAAAGCCCTGAGTCACTGTGATGATTGCCTCGAGAAGAGTGGTGCGAGGATAGCACTATGCCAGCTATCGCAAGCCAAGTCAGATGAGATGCCAACGCCTGACTGGCACTTCGAGTTGTCTCTTCCCGCCTTCGTGCCATGGAGGATGGCACCTTCTGTGAGACGGACATCATGATGATCGACCTTGGTTTGTCTCTTCCTCATCCATCTGCTGATGGTCAACTTGTATTCATAACACTCCCTTCATGAACCAGAGAAATGTCTGTGTACCGCGGTTAGGCATGTGAGAACAATACAGCTATACTATACAGAAAAAGTCTCACTGATTTGATCTGTCTAAATTGAAAAAAAAACAAGCCTTTCATCTGCCGATCAGCAGCGGAATAAGCGAAAAGTGTTCTGAAGCATTGGATGGTTCTATACGTGAGCATGAAGCCTTGAGAACAGGACTGAAACATGTAATCGTCTCTGAATTGGCGCAGTGTTGAATGATGAGTGGAGATTGAATTATAGGTATCTGCAGCTCAGTGTTATGATATCCTCTGCACAGATTGTAGTATTGTGCAGTTCAAGTGTCTTTGAGCAAAAGCTCCAAGCAGCTCAAATAAGCTCCCCAGCCGTGATGTAAGGTGAAGGATACACCTAAAAACCAAGCAGAATGGCTCAAATGCAGTCCAAGAATCTGACCCATGCAAGTGCACTTGCTGGAGTGATACTGAAGCGACATACCCGTATCCTCCTTGAGACTCGGCACTATCCAATCCATCGCTTGTCAGCGGACGTTTGAATCAATGGCACCGGCCCAGGCAAACAGCGGCAGCTTTAGGCGTCCCGACATGTACGCCCTCGCCAAAGAACATGTACTTCCCGTTTTGATGTCTGCCCCTGCCAGCTACAGGAGAAGAGAACACACCACTAGCCTGAAGATTCGTGGGACTTTTGCTGGCTCTTCTCTCCTTTTGTTTCTTTGTTGTTTTCTCCTGTTTGGGCCACACTATAAATACTATATATATATATACAGTATATGATTTGGTCTGGTAAAGGACATGAGAGCTGAGAAGTGTGATGTGTTTCAATGAAGGCCCAAACAAAGTCTAAGGCGTGCTCCTTCAAACGTCCTGCGACTAGTCTTGGGCGGCACGAGCTGGACACGAAAGAATGAGCAGAAAGCCTGTAGAATAGGGAGAGAGAGAGAGAGAGACAAGTGCAAGAGAGATTGGTCGACAAGGGGCGTGAAGCAAAAAGTATGTCACAGTTTGTTGAGTATGCTCCTGACTTCGTTGAGTTTGCTGTGCTGCCTGCGGATGCAACCCGCGTTCACCACGAAGAACTTGACCATACAGCAGCACCCATGACAGGTCAGGGTTCTGGCAGCTGACACGTTGGCACGTACATGCAATTGAGAACCGTGATACAAATGAATGAACTGCTGGACATCAATTGCCTGCAAAAAGGACAGCAAGGAAATGCCCTCCCCACTTCCCAGCAACTCGATTGCCAGTACCAAACAGCCAAGAGCACTGAAGCAGCAAGCTCCTTGGTGCCAGCAAAAGGGCAAGCCAACTGCAGCCCAAACTGTGAAACTACTGCATGCAGGTAACTGGTTCAAGTCCCAGTTCCCCTTGATGACTTCCAAGTCCTCTTCCGATGTCCATTGTTTTTCAGAAGATTGCAGGAATTGAATTGCTGCGTCCGAAGTGTGAAAGCAACCGGAGTCCGGTCCTCTACTCTCCTTATGCGGTACCTGCCACATTTGTTCAGGTCTATCATTGGATATAGAACCAGGCGTTGCTCACTGGTTGCAGATCAAGTTGTTTTCATAAAGGGCACGATAGGCCTGGCACAAGCAAACGACAAGACTCATGTGTAGTAAAGCAAGAAGCAGGAATCGTAAACAGGAACAGGATGTCTTTGTGCCAGGCACACGAAAGCTTGCTTGATGTCAACAAATACAGTACGTATATAGTACTGTAAATAGAATGACCAAGCATGCTGGATCCACTGGAGTTTGCTCCTGCGCGGACCTCAAGGCTGCCCCAGCCATGTCTACTGCCACAGAAATGGAATGAATCAATGAATCCGGCTTGTAATGTTGGTCAAAACTGAAGAAACTAGCTGCCCGACATTAGTGCATCATCATTGATGGCCTGTCGGCAGCGAAGAAGTCCTTTAGCATTTTCAACTGAATGTGCCACCCATCGGCAAAGCGAAGTTGAATACTGTATATGTAAAATTCTAAACATAACACATGTATGTGATTGAATCTAGCACCTGCTTCCTAGTGTGTCGCAACACTGGCAGTGGTACTGGGGTGACCCAAGCATGGGAGGGATGTTTCCTAGCAGTGTCAACAAACGTAGCGTATAGTTGGAAAGGACTGCAAAATTTAATTAATTGCTCCTGCAAGGGCACAGGAATTGGTTCTGTTGTCGTTCCTTACAGCAAGTTTGGTCCTCTTTCTAGACTCATGTGACTCATGTGTCCAGCAAACCTGTTCGACAATGCCACACTTTCTGCATGTTAACAGTTAACACTGTGTAATTACACTATACTTCCGTACGGAAAGCAGGGTGCACTGTTTGGTTCTCCTGCAATGCATATAGATCTATTTCGTCAGGACCACCACTATATTGTCCTCATAGAATTCTTGACAGTTTTCCCTTCACTCCTCAGATCACCGTTTTAAACAAATAAGTGTCAGCATTCCTTTGCTTTCGTTCAGTCGTTCAGGCCTGGTGCGCACTCGGTGCTGTGGCACCCTGTGCAGGACGATTTCTCTGTCAGCACAATACGCACAAAAACGACAATTAGCGAGCCTCCAACCTAAAACCTATATAATAACAAAAAAAGACCATACACAAAAGACAAGTCGACACTACAAGCATGACACCTGTCGTACTTGACGAACCAGCCCTTGCTAGCAGGTTCCACGCATCGTGAGTAAATACCGTTTTGGAGCTCTGAGCAGCTCGGCCCTCTGTTTTCAGTTTTGCGCCTGGGGCATCCCTTGTTGCGCAGGGACCATCTCAGACTGAGGCAAATGTCATGCAAAACCTTCTCATTGAACACGCACTTGGAAATAAAGTGAAAACAAGAAACTCAAAGGAGGTTCCCCTACAATCTCAACAAGACAGAAAATATCCACACAAGAAAGTTAGACAAACCAACGCACCGAATGGGCTTAGTGCGCACAAAATCTTTGAGGCCTTCTGTGGTTCTACAGGGACGTGAATCACATAATTACCAACTTACTAGTCTACTGTACCTGCAGCGGCAAAACATGATACAGCCTTCAAATGCATTGAGCATCTGAAAGCCTATGCAACTGCTCTGAGTCAGAGCTCCAAGCGTTGATGAGCGGAACGCGGGCCTTTCACACAACAGTAGGTTGAACACAAGTCCGATTGTACTCGGCTGCAATTGAATTTTGACACATGGGAAGGGACTCTCTTATTGGAAGTGCATTGAATACCACAATATCTCTCCAAACAGAAGTCTTAAATCGATGCCCAGCCTTGTGGAAATACCCTAACTTGGGCCAATTCGATGTTAATTCTACTCACAGTGTTCGCCCAGCTGTTTCGAAGTTGCAATTACCAGAGCAGCTTGCCCGTCATCTTTTGATGTGTTTCAAGCTGGAAGTGACTCACCCCAAAAAAGAAATCTCTGTCTCATCACTTGCTGAGATCACGACATTGGATCCAGCAGGTGGCATAACTTCACACTGGACAATTCAGCCTCCGTCATTCGATCTCTGAGCAAACTCAAGCGACTCAACTCTCTTGCAGCGCTTCGCTTGGTTTTGTGGAACTGTGGTTCGAGTGCTTATTCTCTGTGCTGAGCCTTGCGGGGCAAGGGGTCAACAATAGGTGTCCTTTCAATGCAATTTGAGCCAAATGCTTTAAGCGAAGCCACTTGGATTTCCTTTGAACGGCAAGGAAATTCTGATTCTGATGTGTGTTTCAGAGTTGCACAACGTTAAGCCTTTGCGTTCTTGCTGTCGCCCTTGTCCAAGGCCCAACAGAAAAGCCCCACATGTTCAAGGCTGATAAGAAACGAAACATTGTATGACTTGGCATGACATGATGACATTCTTCTGCGTGGCCAAAAAGAAACGAAAAAGGCTGAAAGTACTTCAATTTGCTGTTACGCAAACAAGCAGCAGCTTTCGACATGAACAGGTGAAGACTATGCCTGGATACGCTCGAAAATCCTTCCCAAAATGCAGGCTTACCAAATAGAACTATCGTATTGTATCCCATCAATTCCAGTGTAATGCCAACACTTTCTTGACAAATGCCTCTCGACAAAAGCCGTCGTTCATTTTTCCTCGGGCTGCATCAAGGCTTTAAAGCTCACTCCTTTTCCTTGTCAATGCAACACTCCTGACAGAGTATGTGCAATGCAAGTGTATAATACTGCATATATCTACGGGCACACTAACTTCAGGATAGTTAAAGGAATAATATGGTTTCTACGATTTCGCAGGAGAACACCGACGAGAACAACAACAATAACAACAACGTCAGTGACCACCTGCGCCGTCGCCACCAACAAGCCCTCAACAACACGGACACTGACAAACCTGCAACAGCAGCAGCTGGGGCAGCAGCAGCGGTAGCGGTAGCCGCAAGGGCAAGAGCAGTTACAGCAAGAACAGCCACAACAAAAGAGAGAGAGAGAGAGAGAACGCAATCTCATTTGGTATTTGTTTACCCACTGAATGCTCTTCGCTCCTGGTCTGTGCTGCCCTGGTGCTTGTCCTGGCAATGTGTGTGTGTGTGTTCTGTTTCTTTGAAGGAAGATCATCAATAATAAAACAGGAGAAGAATCTAGCACAATGAAAAGCACATTCCCTATGGTTGGAGCTTCAACATCTGGTTGCCCCTACCAGTTGTCAACAAAGCAATCAGCGAGTATATAAATGGCCGAAAAACGGTTCAACAAAAAGAGAACAATCCCTGTGCATGCTTCACAATCATCTGCGTGTTGACCGTTAGCAGGAAGGCGTACCGCATTGGGCATTCGCACTTTTTGCTCGTTCCCACAGCAGTAGTCCTGTTGCAAAGAGAAATACTTTCAAAGACTTGGACGACAATCCAAAGAAAGAAACATATTGAGAAAGAACGAACGGTAAGGACCAGGCTGAGCACCAGCGAGGGTCGTAACACTCCACATCTGTGCTTCCGAGCAACCCTGGCTCTGTCTTCCTGCAAAACTGAGTCTTTCTGCTTTGATTGCATCCATTGCATCCTGACTGTTTACCTCAAACTCATCTTAATTCATTAAAGCAAAGGTTCTCCAGGAAACTGTTCCCCACATCCGTGGGGCAGGAGAAAGCTCCCTTGAAGAACCCTTATGTTCTTCCTCCCAACCAGTCTACCAGTCAATACAGCCACGGAGGGAGGTTGCGTCTTCCAGCCTCTTCCAGCGAGTGGCATGCTGCGTGGTGTACTGGCTACAGTATTTGGGCAAGCAGCACCTAGGCACGTTTTTGTGCATTTGGAAACAGTGCAGTGCAGTGCAGTCAAGCAGCAACTGCTCACTTCATCAGGCCACTACTTCCAATCCAATGGTTGAAGAACTATGTGGGTATGTAGTTCAATAGGGAGACTCCCAACCAATGGCTTTTAGTCCATGATCCTTCTTCCAGAGGGTCTTTGGGAGGTCTCCCTATGTTATTTTTAATACACACCCATGTCTATATATGCAGTGCATACTTCTTCTCTTTAGAGTCGTAAAGTGCACCATGTGAAGGCAAGCTTTCCCTGATTTCCAAAAATGATCAAACATGTGTATCTTGCTCTTCACCAATTCCGCCATGGCACTCCTCGTTGGTACTTCCCTGCCTGGGCAAAGTTGAGTGAAGAAAGCTGTTGCAGCTGTCCCGCAGAATGAACAGTGCCTCTCTCAAATAGCAGTTTCTTCATTCATGCTGTGGCTAGCTGCCATTTGTAGGTATTGGTATCCATCTTCTTGTACCACTGGGTGCCCTGAGTCCAAGAAGAAGACTCAAGTGCATCTTCATATTGTCACACCACCCCATTCTTGGATGAGGCATGAAAAGCCAGACTAGGGACATGGCAACACCGGTTCCTCTCTCGTCTGTGTCGCAAACCTTGAACAAGGCTCAAGCAAAAAGGCATGGTGCAAGGGACGTGGAAATGGGGCCCGAGAAAGAACAAACATCCCGAGACTTCCTAGCAACTAGTAACAAGTGCATCGCTACTAGTAACAACCGGATCTGGCCGTACACAAAAAGGAATGACACAGTACCCACCGAGGGCTCGACAAAGCTGTTGCAAAAGATCGGCTCACAGCATCTGAGAAGCAAGAGTACCAAGCAAAAACATAGTGGGATACTGTCAATTATCTGGTTACCTAGCCAAAATCCACTGGATTATTGGGATGGTTGAAGGACAACTCTAAGGACTCTGCTGTTCAAAGGTGCTGCCCAATAAAGTGCCGTTGTTCTCCTTGGGCCTAGTAGCCATGGCTGGTCAGTGTCCAAAGTATGTCTGCACATGCACAGGATCAAACCAAGCCACTTCCATTGTGTGGCAGGGTCGCATATTTCTGGAAGGCAAATAAGCTGGTCGCAGCACTCCTGAAGTCCGTCAACATGATTCAACCTGGCCCATCCCTTCGTCATCATGTGATCCCCTTAAAACCCGTCGGCATCTGTAAGTCTATGCAGAACGAGCAAGATCCTCGTCTGACCAGCCCTTGCGATCTGTGTTGGTCATTGCATTCTGCTCTGCACCTCAATAAAATGTTCTCTCATGCTTCTAAATGACCTTCCTTAGATATCCTTATGGATGCTGCTAAAGGCCAGTCGCTACACCAATAATGCTTCCTGCACGTCAATGAGAGGAAATCAGGGAGTGCAAGTAAAGTGATGTGATGTCTAAGTCTCCCAGCGGTGCACCCACTTGGTGGGATCACTGCATTTATAGTCCTTACAGCTCTTCCTGGCGGCTGGCGGCGGCACAGGCACTGTTGCTCACTGCTGTGAAGATGCTGAAGTTGCCAAACAGCCAGTGCTTTGCTCAAAGGTTTTATCTATATATATATATATGTATGTATGTATATATATATATATTCATATCCTAAAGCTTCAAACTGGCCTCTCGCAGCATTCATCATCGGTGCTGCCCAAGCGCTCGCTGGGGTTTACCAAAAGCTGCAAGGACTTAGTCATGAACGCATTCAAGAGTAGTGGAGCTTCCGCAAACCATAAGACTTCAGAGAACTGCCATCGCTAGATTGCTGATCATGCTGATCCGAGGTCTGCCAAGACCGAGCGGCATCGCTGCTGCAGGTATATTTGCTGCACGTTTGCTTTTCGCAGCATTCCTCTATGGAGTTGCCTTGACAACTTACAAGAGAGAAACATATGTTTTCGCTTCAAACTCTTGGAGGCTATACACTGGATCAAGAATCATGTTGCAGAAACAATTAAGCTCGAAGAAACTTCATTTGTGGTCAAAATGCTGCTGAGTCCAAGCCAACCATCAAGCAGCTCCCACCTACAAGTGCACCTGGCTTTGGCTTCCACTTCGTGTTGTTGGGACATTCAAAGGTCTCAGTGCACAAACTCGTTTGAGGCTCATGACTCTTGTTGAGCGTTCACAAATAAACGCCACGATTTGAATTCCCCCAAACAAGTGGGAATAATGACTGAAACCATAATATGTCGGATGGTTCCAAAAACCATCGCAAACCTGCTTGCACATGCCCGAAACATGTAGGCCCAAGCACACATCAAAGAACCCAAGAATAGATGATGTCTAAGCGCTGTCAAGGCACATCACACTTCTTCACGTCGCAGCAAGTGTCTCGGTCAGAGCCCTTCAGGGTCTCCGCTCCAGGCTGGCGCGAAGCAAGACATATAAACTTCAAGGACTGCCTTGTTCCTATAACTATATGGTCACGGGCGCACTGGTCGCCTGGTACAAAATGCAGGCTCAAAAACTATTCGTTTTCATCAGTGCGGACCGCGTATGTTTTACTTTTTATCAGCCATTGTCTCGGATCACTTGAGCAGAGCTTCCAGCACATCTTTGTGCAACATTACAAAAACATTACACAACATGTTGTGAAACCGATGGCAACCGATGACAATGTTATGACACCGATGACATCCTGTGGTGAAACCGATGACAATTTCGTGAAAGGGAACATACCCCCCTCCCCCACCCCACCCCTCCCCTTTTAGTTTAATCACACGACTAATCGATTACAATATTATGAAACCGATGACAATGTTATGACACCGATGACCATGCTGCTGTGAAAACAGTGAAGCGTACGGAAACACCAGGCGACTGATCAATCCGTGGGCAACTATATTATATATATATATATATAAAGACTCCCTGGGTTCTTCTCTCTTTTTACCGCGATGCAAGACCTAGGTGGTCAAACAACATAAGAGAACCTGACTAAAAAATTCAGTGGAAGAGGCCCCTGCCTCTGACTCCCCCCACAGCTCCCCCGCCAGGCCGGGGTGAGCGTGAGCCGCAAGAGTCAGGGTGGTCCCGGGCCCCGCCAGACCGGGGAACATCCGGGAGATCATCCTCTGATCTTATTCTTCCTTCCGCCGGCGGTGTTGAATCAATCGAGAAAAAAGAATCACTTCTTGGCGCGCTTTCTGCGCTTCTGTTTCTGACTTCTTCCGCGTCGCCCTGGCCCACCCTTGGGGTGAAGCTCAAG